ATGTTACAAGCTGTGCCACTGGTATTTTAAATGCCAACAGGACTGCCCATGGTAGACAGAGTTCAGCAGAGCTTCCAGACCAAGACAGACTGTAAAGAAGAAGAGGTGGATTTTACTTCTGAATGTTTAGCCTCCTCAGAACACTGATGTGACACATGCGTTCAGTGGTCCTGGTTCTTGCTCTGCTCTTGAACTCTGTCGCAAGAGTGTGTACACAGGAAGGGAACCCGGGGGAAGTATGAAAAGTGTTGCTACATTGTGTCACAGAGCAAAATGTGTGTGAACTATTGAACAGGAAACCAACTTGCTCTCTGAACTTTCATCCAAATCACAATAAAAAAGTTAAAAATGAATGTGGACCTGAAAAAGGGGTGAAGAAGAAGCTACAGGAGGTGACATAAATAGGCAGGAAGAATGAGAGCACCGAATTTCCCAATGGTGAACCAGGGGGTTAGCATGGATGCTGTACCACTAGTCAAAACAAGGCCAGGGGCAAACTGTGAAACAGAGCATCAGTTGTTCATATGCAAGTTTAGACTGAAATTGGAGAAAATTAAAACCAGTCTATGAAAGCCAAAATGTGTACTTGAACATATCCCTCTTGAATTTAGAGATCATTTCAAGAACAGATTTGTTGCATTAGACACTAAAGATCAAAGACCAGAAGAGTTGTGGGATGACATCAAGAACATCATACACGAAGAATGCAAAAGGTCATTATGAAGACAAGAAAGAAAGAAAAGACCAAAATGGATGTCAGAAGAGATGCTGAAACTTGCTCTCTAGTATAGAGATACTATAATAAATGGAAGAAATGAGGAGGGACAAGAGCTGAACTGCACTGGGAGGGAGCGCAGCAGCTATTGTGAGGATGGTGCAGAAAGAGATGGTGTTTTGTTCTGGTACACAACAGGGTTGCTGTGGGTCGGGACCTACTCACAGCACCTAACAATACCAACACATACAGTTCTAACATTACAGATGTCTCCCAACAGACAGACTTTCAAATACCTGTCTGTGTATCAGATTGTAGCTGAATCATAACCTTACAATGGTCCGACTTCTTTATCTTAGACTCTACTATGTTGTTGTTGTTAGGTGCCATGGAGTTGGTACTGACCCATAACGACCTTATGCACAGCAGAACGAAACACTGCCCGATGCTGAGCCAGCCTCACTACTGTTACCACACTTGAATCCATCTACTCTAGTCAGTAGAAATCTGTGCTGGAATTAGCAATCTCAGATTTTAATTTGGACTTTTCCTGTAGCTAGCAAAACTTCAGCTTCAGCACCTGTCTTCATTGCCGTGAGACCTGACGAACTAGAAAGTGCTGGGTTACCAGTACTGAACATTTTGATCAAGGATTCTGTAGAAGAATCCTGATTAATACAGGGTAAACGAATAACAGATTTTCAAATACTCCTGGAATCCAGATACTTTGCAGGCAAGGTGGCTGGATGAACCACTGGAATTAATGCCTGGAGATCATCTTTTAAGCCTAACACCAAAACTATCCCCTTAAATCTTCTTAAAACCAAACAGTAGTTTAGCTTAACTAGCAAAGAACTTGAGCATTATGGTCCTTTCAGAATTATGGATGTGGGATCGAATTTACAATAGCAACTCAGAAAGATTAGATGGGAAATCTGGGGCTCTGTGGGTTTATGCTAATGAGGGAGGAGCAACTCAGAAAAGGCGGGGCAAATGTTTACACAACTGGAAGAACCGGAGTCTTTGTCACTGAATTGCATGTGTTGAACTGGCATATGCTCTTGTATCATTCTCAACAACAACAACAAATACATTATTATTTTTTTTAATTCCACCTCAAAGCACCTCCCTCTGAGGCCTGGGCAGGGGTCCTAGCCATTTATTATTCTTTATTATGTATCCTTTTCCTACAAAGGGGGCCACAAACATCAAGTAAGTTGCAACGTCTACAAAACACAGATCTGACACTGTGTGACCCTAGCAGCTATTTTGTCTCCTTCTGTTATAAGGCCCTGGGCGTGTGGATATGTTTTCTGCTATACCTGAAGTGTCGCTGGCTCTATAAGTGTGGGATAAACAAGGGGCAAATTCCACCCAACAAGCCTTTCCTCTTGTGAATGTTAGGTGCTTGGGAGACAGAAATAAAATGTTTCCACCACAGTGCAGCTGGGACAGTAAGCTGGGGAGCAAAATGAGGGGAGAAGGGCAAGAATGCAATGTACAGTATAGTTTCCCAAATCTTTATTTTCATTTTAAAGTCCATTTTTTCCTTCCTGCCTTTTACTTCAAGCAGCAGGGAGGAAACCATACAGTCTCTTTAACATCTTACCTAGAAATCTCATTGGCTAGATATCCAAATTAATGACTTACAAATTCTACCCCTGTTCACCAAACATTTGAACATAATTCAGACAAGTTTTTTGGCCACTGCATAAGATGCATTGCTCTTTGGGCACTGTCTAATGGCATTCTCATTACTCCCTTCTAAAGCCTCACCAGAAGAACATTTAATGCCCACATGGCTAGAAATATTCTCTTGCTGCTGCCGTATGTCTTCTCTAAGATGACAGAGACTTTTGCTCTTTAGCTCTCCCCTGTCCTTGAGTCCTCACCAGAATTGTCTTTAGGTACATAATTCCAGCAACACTTTCTTTAAGGCAAACTTGGCTCTTACTATTGTTATTAAGTGCCGTGCAGTCGGTTCTGACTCAGACTGACCTTGTATATATAGGGTTTCTAAAGAGTGGGTTTGAACTGCTGGTCTAGCGGTTAGCAGTCCAGTGCTTATCCTATGCCCCTTAAAACGCTTCTAACCTCTACTTATTACACAGTTCCACAGAGTTCTGGTGTGGCTCTGTGGGTTAATGCACCAGACTGTAAAGCCGTTTGAACTGCGAAGTTGGTGGTTCAAGCTCACCAGCTGCTCCTCGGAAACCCTATACAAGGTCGCTATGGGTTGGAACCGACTCCACGGCACTTAACAACAACTACAATAAGCTACTTTCACATTTTAAGTATCTGTTAGAGCAACACCTCACTCCTCAGTACCAAATTCTCTCTTAGTAACCTAGTGCTACTATAATAGAAATAGCACAAGTAGGTGGTTTTAACCAACCGTTTATTTTCCCACAATTTGTTGTTGTTGTTGTTAGGTGTCATTGAGTCAGTACTAACTCACAGTGACCCTATGCACAATAGAACGAAACACTGCCTGGTCCTGCCCCAACCTCACAATCATCACTAAACCTGAGCCCATTGCTGCTGCCACTGTGCCAGTCCATCTCATTAGGGGCTTTCCTCTTTTCCTCCAACTTTCCACTTTACCAAACATGATATCCTCCTCCAGGGATTGTCCCTCCTCATAATATGTCCAAACTATGAAAGACAAAGTCTGGCCATCCTGGTTTCCAAGGATCACTTCTGGATATACTTCTTCCAACACAGATCGGTTGGTTCTTTTGACATTTCATGGTACTTTTAATAGTCTCCTCCAACACCGTAACTCAAATGCATCAATTCTTCTACGGTCTTCCTTATTCACTGTCCAACTTTCACATGCATATGAGGTGACTGAAAATACCATGGCTGAGCTCAGGCACACAGTTTAGGGGAAGAGGAGTCAGAATTCAGGGTGCTGGCTCTCAGGAAGGGTTTTCTGTGCCAGCTCTGGGGGGAAGGTCCTTGTCTCTTTAGCTTGTTTCCTCATTCCTTGGAGATCTCCATGCTGCTTGGCATCTATTTTCTCGTATCTCAGCTTGCTAGCTGTCTTGTTTAATCTCGTTTATATCTCAAGAGATAAAACTCAAGATAAACCCTACCAAAATCCTGTCTCTAACATAACAAAGACAACCAATTTCCCCAATGGTTTGTAACCACAAGCAAAGAGGCTGGGTTTTGGGAGACATAATTAACACTATAAAGAATGCCCTAGAAAGGTGAGAAGCTGGAATGATCCATGGTCTGGCTTATATGCACTTAAATTGGGTGAAATGTTAAAATTACTAACATGACAAAGTAAGTAGATAAAGTGCCTTTATTTAATCATTTCATTAGAAAAACTTTAAGGATCTTTCCCCAAAATCATTAAATGTACCAAAGGGAGGTTTGTTGTTGTTCATGTTGCTAGGTGTCATCGAGTCTGTTCTGACTCATAGCGACCCACTCCTGGCCCGCCTCACAACCCTTTGGTACACTTTAGCCCATTGTTGCTGCCACTGTGCCCATCCATCTCATTGGGGTCTTCCTCTTTTTTGCTGACCCTCCACTTTACCAAGCATAATGTCCTTCTCTAGGGACTTGTCCCTCCTGATAGTATGTCTCACCATCTGGCTTCTAAGGAGCGTTCTGGCTGTACTTCTTCCAACACAGATTGGTTTGTTCTTCTGACAGCCCATGGTACTTTCAATATTCTTCTCCAACGCTAAAACTAATGCAAGTTGGTTTCCTGTTCAATAGTTCATACACATTTTGCTCTGTGACACAATGTAGCAGCATTTTTCATACTTCCCCCGGGTTCCCTTCCTGTGTACACACTCTTGGCGACAGAGCAAGAACCAGGACCACTGAACGCATGTGTCACATCAGTGTTCCGAGGAGCATTTGCTGTTTGGAAAATTGCCCCTTATTTACAGCAGCCACGCACAGCAGATGAAAGAGGGATTCTTATATCTGTGCTTAACTAAGTGACAAAAGGCACCCTCGTGGCACAGTGGGTTAAGCATTAGGCTGCTAATCACAAGATCAGTGGTTGAAACCCACTAGCCACTTCACAAGAGAAAGATAAGACTGTCTGCTCCCATAAAGATTTATTGTCTCAGAAACCCTATGAAGCTGTCTCACTGTATCTTAGAGCTGACTTGACTCAGTGGCAGGGAATAGCTAAGTGACAAGATAGGGAGTTCAGAATGAAAACTCATTTGAAATGACACAGCCAGGAAGTCATAACACCTACGTTTGGGTTTGTAGAATTCATTTTTTTTCTCTCTTTTTTTTTTTTATCATGCAGAAAGACACTTCTTGGACCGACTTATGGTTCTCCCATTGAGCAGATCCAGCTCCTCCCAGTGAAAACCACTATTGAACTCCAGAAACGCTACTTGGTGTTTATTAACAGAGACAAGGTACCCAGCCCTTCTGCTCTTTGATTCCGTAGGATGAGCTCATGTATTATGAGAAACAGTCAGTCCCAAGTCTTGTTACGACTCAAGAATGCTCCATTTAATATTCAGGTCCAAGGGTAGGCAGAGCTGGGAGCTAGTGCAGGTTCTGCTCCGGACCTCTGCAGTAAAGCCAGTATCTCAGTAAAGCAAGTCACATGCCTGCTTTGCTCTCCCAGTACATATAAAACTTATGTTGTCACTAGACTATAGTTTATGAAGTGAGCAGTAGCGTGATGACAAAGTTTGAAATAGTGTGAGAATGACCAACACGGGTCTCAGAGACATCAAGTGAGAATACACTTTGGGAAAAATGGCGCCAATAGACATGCCAAAGCAGGGTTGCCACGATCCTTACATTTATTATTATTTTTTAAATGCAGAGTCTGCAAAGCAGAGTAAAATGAGGTGTACTGGTCAAGCTTGAAGCTGAGAATTGCTACAGATTAGGGGTGACTCTTGGAAGACCTTGCTGGCAGTTCTTTATTTTTGGTACCCCAAATTAAGATCACTACCCACCAAAGGATCCTTTTATTTCTGATTTCTTTCCCTGGAAGGTTTAAATTTTTCATTGTTGTTAGATGCCACTGAGTTGACTGACTCATACAGACCCCATGTGACAGAGTAGAGCTACCCCGTAGGATTTTCTAGGCTGTAATCTTTATTCAAGAAGCTCTGGTAGCGTAGTGGTTACGAATCGGGCTGTGAGCCTCAAGGTCAGCAGTTCAAAACTATCAGCTGCTCCACAGGAGAAAGATGAGGCTTTCTGCTCCCGTAAAGATTTACAACCTCGGAAACCCTGTATAGGGTTACTATGAGTCAGAACTGACTCCACGGCACATAACCATCACCACCAGCTTTATTCAGCACGGTGGCTCCATATGCTAAGTCCTAGACTGAGACCATACATCAGGATTATTCCAGAAAGCCCTGAATATCTGACCACGAAGAAGACTTGGAGGAAAACATCCTCTCTCCATAGCTACTGAGCCTGCATGGAGGGCTCCCCAACCCCCCATGTTGGAAATCTGCGTCATCTCTAAGGGACCACCCTGTGGGCTCTGCGTGTGTGAGTGCAGCTGAGGCAGAGGTGGCATTTGCCCACGGGAAGGGTTTCAGAGACACAGGTAATATGAGAAAGCGCTCAGCACCACAGGGGCCCAGTCATCTGGTCTGAGCCCTCAGGTACATCTTTCTCTCTAGGTCGGACTACAGATCCTACCTGTAGATGGCAACCCACATAAGACATCTGCTATCATTTGCCACCCCAATGGGGTGGCTGGGATGACCCTTTCATACGATGGCAACTATGTGTTCACGGCAGGAGGACATGACCGCTCAGTGGTGCAGTGGGAAATTAACCTGAGGTACGTGAGGTGGGTAGGCAGCAGGGCCCCTTCAGCCAGGTGTCAAGTGTAGAGGCCATGAGACAGGCACTGTGTACACAGGCCAGTACCTGCGATGCTCACACGTTGACGTGGGAGACCCGGAGCTGAGCCACAGTGATGGACTGTGAAGCTCAGAGACAAGACCCAGGGGGTTGCACCTCTCACAAGCAGGGCTGGAGGGAGGCAGGGAAGGAGGTCAGGGGAAGGAACCACGTGTCTGGAGAAATATTGCTACTTCCCCGTACTGTTTTACAGAGCTCATTGAGCCCTTCACGCATCACCCGCGCTATTATCCACCCTCTGTATGCCTTTACTGACTTTTAAAATATTTAATGTGTTTGGGGGTTTGGTTTTGTTGTTTGAAATTTGTAGCCATTTCGTTGTTGCTGAGAACGTATAAGGTAAGACCATTTCTACGTGCACAGTTCAGTGACGCAGATCACATTCTTGGAGGTGTGCAGCCTTTTTTACCTTGCTGTTCCGGAGTCCCTCCTCTGCAAACATGAACTCACGGCCCCCTAAGGTTCCTGTTTAATCTTTCCAGCTGCTGTCATCAGCATCGGCTGATCCCATTTAGAACTTAACAGACTATCATGCTTAAGGCTGACATTTTTTTTAGTAGTCAAGTTAAATTGTTGTTTGGTTTTAAGAAGCATTGACAGGATATTTTTGGCTTAAGGTTTAAAGATTTTTCTGGGGCATTCCTTGATTTGATGAGCTTGTTATGTGCGAGGGGACTTCGGAAGATTGTGGGGAAAATGGAACGAAAAGATAATGGGATATTTATAGTTTTATTATATATATGGAGTCCTGGTGTGATGCTATAGAATAAGCACTGGACTGTTAACCACAAAGTCACCAGTTCAAGCCCACCATCCAGTCCTCAGAAGCCCTGTGTTGTTTTTGTTAAATGTAGATGTGTCAGTTTCTACTCCTAGCGATCTGAGGAGCGGCTGATGAGTTTGAACCTCCAACCTTACGGTTCAAACCAACCTTGTGGCCGAGTGCTTATCCCACAGTGCCATATTAGGACTCCATTGTAAGTCCTACACAGGGTTCCTATGAGTCAAAAGTGAGTCAACAGCACTTAACAACAACAATAAAACTACCTATATATTGTATTGCACATGGAAGCAGGTACCTATTGTTGTTGTGTGCCACCCAGTCGATTCCAATTTATAACAACCCCAAAAGACAGAGTAGAATTGCCCCCATAGGATTTTGAAATCTGTAATCCTTACCCAAGTGGATCACTGAATTTTTCTCCCTTGGAGTGTCTGGGTGGGATTGAACCCCCGACCTTTTCTATTAGCAGTCAGATGCTTTACCATTGTGCCACCTGAAATACCTAACTAGTACAAACTTCAGAAGATCCTCTGTGACTTGTGCCACCTGCAATCATGTCCCTACTTGGGGAAAGCCTGTGCGAATCTGGGAGGGTCTTGAGAGAGTTGCCAGGTGGAGAAGAAAGGAAAAGTCAGCCCAGAAGGATAGATCAAGTGTGCCGGAAGCACTTGGCGGGAAGACTCGCTAGCAGGGTGGTCTTGAACCTTGACCTTGAGTTTGGGCAACCCTTGAAGAGTTGCTGGCTTAAAGTTACAGTTGGGAAGGGGCTTCAGATTGTGGAAGGGACCCTCTGTTGTCATCAGCTGGAGGAGGTGATCAAAGGAGGAGGGAGATTCAGCAGGAAGGTTGGACAGGACGTGGTCACCTCAGGCAGCTCTTGAGCTCCCCTGCCACCTGAGGGGACAAGAACACTTCCCACAGGTATTTGCCACACTGCTCCATGGGCATGTGCATGAGTGCCCCAGGTGGGCAGGTGGTCACCACACCCATGAGCTGTGTGGACTGAAGGTCCTTGTAGTCAAGCTGTGTCTCCTCCACGGTTCACTTCCCTCTAGCATCCTTTCTTGCCACACCAGCTCCAGTTTCTGCTCGTATATCTGTGTGTTTTGTCTACTCTTCTTACCCCACCTGCCCTCACTCAGGTGGGAATCGGTAAAATAGTAGTGGTTGTTCACTGCCATCAAGTGGGCCCCCGACACAGAGACAACGCTGTCCGCCCATTGAGATCCTAAGGTTTCCACTGGCTGGTTTTCAGAAGTAGATGCCCAGTCCTTTCTTCCTCACCCACCTTAGTCTAGAAGCTCCATGGAAACCTGCTCGTCATAGCAACACACAAGGCCTCCATTGACAGACGCTGTGTGCACTAGCTGGGTATCAAACCCAGGACTCCTCCATGGCAGGTGAGAATTCTACCACTGAGCCATTCCCACTGCCTAAGGTCAGGCTGGAGAATTCTGTAGTTGAACATGGGCAATTGCATGGACTCGGAAGTCAGACTGACATCCATTTATCTACACTGCTGGCTGTGGGGTCTGGGGCAGGTGTCTTAACATCTCTGATCCTTAGATCCCATGACTGTAAAATGGGGATAATAATAGAGACTTTCATCAGACCTTTGTAAAAATTAGATTGGTTAATGCATGCAAGCACCCAGCTCAGAGCTAGATATTTGGTAAAGTACTGTATTTTCACATATAACATGCCCACTTGGGAAACGAAGGCGTAAGGGAGCTGTGCAGTTTGCCAGAACTGTATAGCGTTCTTGTTATTTGTGTAAAAGTTGGTAATGATGTCCTTCCTTCACATCTTCCTCACAAAAGCATTTGCTTATGAGCTCAGGATTCTTACTACTGATGGAGGGAGCAGGTGTTTAGGGGGCCTTCTCATCTACCCCAGTCCAGCTGGGCTGCCACAGGGTAGAGTGGAGCCACTGAGCAGCCGGCTCCCAGAAGCTCGGCCAGTCCCATGGGCCACTCGGTCCGATGCTCTCACTTAAGAAGCAACACACAACCAGCCAAGAGGCGCCTTGTTTCCTGAAAGAGCAAATGTGGCCCATGACCCCCAGTAAAAGGCAAGGGCACATGGTTCCTGCAGACATTAGAACATCTCGTCGTTTGCTCTTTCAGGAGTACAACTACCCAGTGGAATTCAAGTTGGACCCGTAGCCATCTAGAATTACAGATGCTGCTCTGACTCTAAGACCTCAATGAGCAGATCTTGTGAATTGGGGGATTTAGGCACAGGCAAACAGCACCCCCTTGGAAAACCCACCATAATCATGCCTTCAGAAGGGAAACTGCTGGGCTCCCACCGACTGCTTGCTCCCAGGGCTCTGGGAAAACTAAGACCTGGGGTGGGACGTGGAGTTGGGGGTCGGGGTGAGGACGATGGTCTCCTTGTACTTCTGTTTCTGTTCCCTCCTCTGTCAACTTGGGATATAGAACGATGGAGATGAAAAAAAAAGACACCAGCTTCTTTCCAGTCGCTCCCCTATGCCTGGCCAGAGTCCAGCTTTCTGTGAATTTCAGTTTAATTTGTTGTGAGGACAAAGGATCGTTATAACCTAATTAGCACTTCATTGCTGCTTCTGATATCTTAATATGTTCAGCACTTCACTAATGGGAAGAAATGCAAAAACCCTAAATAATAAACAAACAAAGCTCCTACTAGACTTGAAGGTGCTGACTTGTGAGATAAAATGAAGATGCCGAATCCCCTTCCATTCAGCGCTCGTGGTTCCAACCCACCAGGGACTCTTGGGGGAAAAGACCTAGCAGTAGATTCCTGTACAGATGAACCCAAAGCAAAACAACCGATAACCCTGAGCGGTTGCATGCTCATTTGCCAATTGCAAGGTCAGTGGTTCAAACTCAGCAGTTACACCGTTATGTGGTAGTGACGTTGTGGTGAGTCTGCAGTATGGAGTAGAACTGCCCTCCCTGTGAGGTCTTCACAGCTGCAGTTGTTAGTCCAGCTGTTAGCTGCCATGCTACCAGGTCTCCGTTCATCAAGATGGCAGCTGTACTCTGTCCGACAGGTTCACTCTGAGTCAGAACCAACTCAGAGATACACAACAACTCCTGGTTGTGGTTAGGTGCCATTGAACCGGTACTGACTCTTAGCAACCCTGTGCACAACAGACCAAAACACTGCCCGATCCTGGGCTTAACTCACAGTCATTGCTATGTCTGACCCCATTGCTGTTACCACTAGAGGGCTCCCTCTTTTTCTCTGACCATGTGCTCTACCAAACTTATCTCCTTCTCCAGGGACTAGTCCCACTTGATAATATGTCCAAAGTATGCGAGATGAATTCTCACTCTCCTGGCCTCCAAGGAGCACTCTCCCAACACAGATCTGTTTATTATTTTGGTGGTCCATGGTTCTTTTTAATATTTTCCTCCAACACTATAACGGTCTTCCTTATTCATTGTCCAACTTTCACATACATATGTGGTTACTGAAAAGACAATGGCTTGGGTCAGGAACACCTTCGTCCTCAAACTGCCGTCTTTGCTCTTCAACACTTTACAGAGGGCTTGTGTGGCAGATTTGCCTAATGCAATACATCGTTTGATGTTTTGACTGCTGCTTCCATTAGTATTGATGGTTGATCTGAGCAAAATGAAGTCTTTGACAACTTCAACCTTTTTTCCATTTATATGGATGTTGTTTATTGGTCCAGTGGTGAGGATTTCTGTTTTCTTTACACTGAGATGCACCCCATACCCAAAGCTGTGGTCTTTGAGATTCATCAGCAAGTATTTTAAGTCTTCTTCTCTTTCAGCAGGCAAGATTGTATCATCTGCCTATCACAGGTTGTTAATGAGTCTCTCCAATCTTGATGCCACGTTTTTCTTTATATAATCCAGCTTCTTGGATTATTCAGCATACTGATTGAAAAAAATATGGTGAAATAATACAACCCTGGCACACACCTTTCCTAATTTTAAACAATCTGAATCTTGCTCTCCGGCATAGAGATGTTAAAGCAGATGGAACAAGTGAGGAGGTACAAGGGCTGAACAGAAAATTTCAAAGGTCAACTCAAGAAAACAAAGTGAAATACTATAACGAAATGTGCAAAGACCTGGAGTTAGAAAACTAAAAGGGAAGAACAAGTTCAGCATTTC